CCACGCTGCTGTCTGCCTGAGTTTGGCTTGGAATCGACCGGAGACTGCCGGTAGATACACTCTAGAGGGATCTACCTGGCAGTCTCCGGTCGATTCCAAGCCAAACTCGGCAGGCGTTGGTCAGCAACAGCTATCTGGTTTCTTTCTTCTCGCCGTCTCGAAGTCAATGGCGTGCACCTACATACAAACCCGTAGCAGCTTAGCGTGAATGCATACACTCAGTGCACCCAGCATGTAGACAGTAGATTCAGCCCACGCGCCTCGCCGCCCACCACATGGTGCGCGGTGATGCTGATGTTACCTTGATGCTACTGATGCGCAACGTCGCCACCCAGATAACAAAGGGAGATGTCGGGTGAGACCCGTTACAGATTCCCCCATGCCCGCCCATGACCGACCGTCTAGAGAATTTCCGAGCAGGCTACGCTGTGTTACAAGAGCGAGTGCGCGTCGTGCTCCGTGTGCAACTGGGAGATGGGCACCAGTCTGCGCGCTCAGCGGGACGAGGTCCTCGCCTTCCTGAACGCAGCTGATCAGGTACGCACCTTGGATTCGTTGTCTCGTAGATGTGCTAACCGACCGCACTACAGCACCGGGAGGTCTTCCCCGCAGCCGAGTTCCTGACGTTACACGCCAGCGTCGGCGTCATGGTCGAGGCGCTGGAGGAAGCCTGCACTCAATCAGCGGATCCTTGCGATCAAGAGGTCGTAGTGGTGCGGCGGCGGCGCCCTGGCGAGGGGTGCGGGACGTCCGCGCATCGAGATCGACAAGGGGTTCTTGTCGCGCGCGTTAGACCTGCTGGGGCCATACTGGGAATCGCGGAGGCCCTCCATTGCAGCCCGTGCACGGTGCGCCGGCGGGCGCAGGAAGCAGGCCTGAGCCGCCCCGGCCTGCGCGTCTGCAGTCCATACATCGCTCCCGACTGGGTCGCAGAGGAGGCAATGGAACCCCCGCGCGTCGAAGCCCACCTCGAAGCACACCCCGATCTCGGACGAGGAGCTGGATGGGTTCATGTACAATATCCTGCAGCTCTTCCCCACCTTCGGACGCGCCATGATCAAGGGGAAGCTCGAGTCGCAAGGGATCATTGTGTCGCGGACGCGCCTTCAGTTTGTCTTACCTCAGAGTGCACGGGACACCCTCGCCTTTCGGCAGCGCACGCATCGGGCGCAAGAAGTACTCCGTGCCCGGGCCAAACTCGCTCTGGCACCACAACGGGCAACACGGTCTGTTCCTCCAGTTCCCTGCCTCAGCACGCGAGTTGACAGCGACGCCCCACAGGTCTCATTCCTGGAAGCTGGTGACGCATGCCTTCATAGACAGCAAGTCTCGGTTTGTGACCGGCGTGTGCGTGAGCAACAACAACCGCGGGGCAACGGTACTCACTCTGTTCTTTGACGCCACCAGGAAGCACAGATGGCCAAGCAGGGTGCACGGAGACCACGGCGTCGAGAACACACAGGTAGCGGAGGAGATGGAGCGGCAGAAAGGTTCCGGGTGTGCGTCCTACATCTACGGCAGGCGAGTGGTTCCTGTCCGGCGTGCACCTCCATTCTTGACATCTGGCGTTTGTAGGAGTGTGCACAATGCCCGCATCGAGAGGCTGTGGCTCGACTGGACACAGGGGGTTGGCCTGAAATGGCACGACTTCTTCATGTCGTTGGAGCACAACTACGATCTAAAACACGACAATCCGGCGCACATCTGGCTGCTGCATTATCTTTTCTTGGACGCTCTCAACGCGGACGCGGAGGACTGGGCCACCGCGTGGAACAACCATGTCATGCAGATCGCCGGCGAGACCAATCGCTCTCCTGTCGATATGTTCACCTTCGGTATTCTACGCGACGGGGCCCACGGGTTCACGATAGACGACGCCCGCATGGCACAGCAGGAGGCCGACAGCGCCCCCATGTCACAGGAGGAGGCCGCAACTTTCGGCGTGGACTATGAGGCACACGGGGACGCGCGCCTGATGGCGCATCTCGCGGAGAACAACCACGACGAGTGGGAGGACAACAACAACAACCCCTTTGTCCCTGACGTCGCCCCCGAGCACCGCTCCCATGTTGTCTGCGAGCCCCCGAAGCTCCCCGCTGTCGGCCGCTCAGATCGCCGTGCTCGATGCGCGCCTGCGTGCGTGCGTGGACCTCACGTCGTGGGATATGGAGGTCCGCAAACTTGTTTGGTGCCAGGCGCTGCGGATATGCGGCGAGATGTTCGCCTAATAGTTAAAATAATGTCCTCTAATTACCTGTATATTACAATTTCCAAATCCCTGTATAGCATTCCGCCATTTGGGAAAGGCGCCGCGGAAGATACTGGGCTCTGCCAAACAGAAAAAATCACCGCGGAAGATACCCTTCGCTCAACATGGCATTGCGACGGAGCGAACGCGCTCGAGCCCCAGCCGACCCTCGCGCTGCGCCCTTGCCCAGCGTACACCGCACACCCGCGCCTGCACCAATGTCCATCGTGCCACAGCCCGCCCCTGCAGCTGCTGCGGTGAAGAAGAGGCGGGCTCGCAGGAATGCAGGGGAGGCCCCCGCACCAAGCAACCCTGCACACGTCACCAGTGCGCGCCTGGACTCGGGCAGGAGGCTCGCCGACGAGCCAGGTAAGGCGGGCGTCCTCATCGGAAGCACAAGAACACTGACTGCAACCTCTGCAGACATGGAGCCCGCGTTGCTGCCGCCTGCGACAGCTGCAGCGGCGGCGACGAACGTAACGGCGCTCGGCATGGGCAACGCCATGGAGTTCAACGTTGTGGAGGTCAACACTGTAGAGGTCGACCCTCCTGTAGTGGCGCCTTCCATCCCCGAAGTGGTCGATGTGGACGCGATGATGGCGATGCCTTCGCCAGTGCGCCCGCGCCCACGCCCTGTGGTGCGGGCCACAAATCCCCTGCCAGGGTGACCGCGTTCTTCGAGCGGCTCACGCGGTGCGAGGGGCACCACGATCTCCTGTATCAAACCTACAGTGACGACCACATGGCGAAGCTGGTAACCGACGTAGGCGGGGCCGCATTCGTGCCGCCGACGCATTATGAGGCTCACTTCGCGCAGAGGACCGAGAGGAGGGCGTTGCTGGCACCCGAACCGGTCTTCCCTGTCGGCGTCTCTGTGGCCCCCGACGACATCTACATGTCGCCGTCGGGCATGATGACCAGGATGTCTTGGTCTGGTTGGGCCGGTGCGGGGAGTCCTCCTCCCGAAAACAACCAGCCGCCGAGCACTGTGCTCCTCTACATCTGGTCAAGGAATGGCCCCCAGACCTACATCGCGCCAAACCTCTCCATACACCAGAACACCTTCCCTGGGTCGGACGAGGCGTATGCCGAGGATATACTCGCGACGCTGCGCAGCATGCCTGATTCCATGGCCGACCTCGCTGTACGCGAATGCATGGCATCTGATGCGGACGAGCACTGGTGTGTTGCCACGGCGCGGGTGGTGATCGACTTCCAGACTCAAGGCTGGCGTGGACTCGAGGGCCAGGGCTCGTTCAAGGAGCTCGAGCCACTCCGGGCCTATCGCATTCGTAGGGAGCTGCCGTTTGAGCTGCACTCTGCGGTCGTGCCGGTGGAAGCTACTGGCGCGGCGCGCTTCCTGAAGAAGTGGCAGAAGTCGACGGGGATGAACTTGGAAGGTCCGGACCTCTCCTGGCAAGCAACGTTCATCGTCGCCTTGAAGGTGAGCTTACCTTCCCTCTACTTGCGGACCCGGACTGACGCGGGGTCCCAGCCGGCGCCAAAAACGGTCGTGCCAGCGGTGGTGCATGCAACATCGCCGGCACCCGCCGTGGTGCGCGCGCCGCGCGCCGCGTCGACTGCGCCCAGGGCCGCGGAAGACATAGTCCCACCAGAGGTCGCGGCTTACTTTGCCTTGCACATCCGACTCGAGGAGGTCGAGTTCTTCAGGACGCTTTTCGAAGACAGCCACAGTGCGGTGTATCGGGCGGTCCTCACCGTGAGGCGAGTGCAATTCCTCTGTTCGACGCTCGGGCTCCCTTGGCCGCAAAAAGGTCTGAACGGGGCAATGACGGTTAGCGGCCTGCAGGTGTCGATCAAGCAGCTGGTCCTGTGGCTCAAAATTTGCGTCAGCGAGTGCCCGAAATTGAGCATGTTCGGCAACCATCGGACGTGGGAGCGGGGCTTGCAGCGTGTCTTGACATCGCTACAGACTCGGCGGACGTTGATGTCGGAGGAAAAGGACGATCTCGCGGCCTGCAAGTGCCTGCTGCAGGCGGAGTTCACGCGCTGCAAGACGATGATGGGTTGAGTGCTGGGCCCGGTATGAAGACAGCAGCGACCATGAGTGCCGCGCAACTCGTGCTGCTGGAGAAGCGCTACGTCGAACCGCGGCGTTGACGGTGATGTCGATGCTGAAAACGACGTGCACATGAGTGTTTGTCCAGGCGTCGCCCCCCCCCCCCCATTCCCTTGCTGAAAACGACGTACGTACGTGGTCCGTGTAGATCCAGCCCTGTTGTCCGTCTAGGTATATTATTTTACAATGTTCTGTTGCTTCTCTTGCGTGAGAACAAGGTCTCATCCGCGTCTTATTTTGAGTGCCGCGTCAAGCATCAAAAGTATGGAAACAGACGGCTATCTGGGTACTTAGGTCGGCGGATGAACCAGCAAGAATTGAAAAAAAAGATTGTGGCTTCAGTAAACACCCTGCTAGCGCGGGCAGTATTTGCAAGATATGAAAATGAGGAATCCGTTGGCTTAAGATCTGAGGCCGAACTGAACGCACAATGAAGTCACTGAAGTAAACCCTCTTCCTAATTGGGAGTTTGACAGGACTATCAAAATGCGACTGTCGGTTTTTTCTGACCGCACATCCTCCTTGATTATTTGAACTACTAAGTATTGGGGACTACCATAGTACCATCCTCTTTTTTTCATGACTGAAATTGAGGTCAGTGCAAAAAAAAGTTGGCACTATCTTGCACTTGTAGGCAATCGATAGTAAAAGGACAGGGCTTTGAATGTCGCATGTCTGCGCTCGGAATCGCACCGAGGGCATCATCAGATATAGATTTCGGAGAGCCACAACAGGCTCAGATGACGTGTTTACCACTACACTACACGGACATCATATAGTCCCCAACACATGGGATATAGGCTCCAAGGAAGCCAGAAACTTAGATATAGATGGGTCGAGCGTGTACATGATGGGTATATATAATTATCGGTAATACCAATAAAAAACTGGTTTGGAAACAGGATAGAGGGCGTGCTGACTAACGCGTGCCGCATTTGGTTGGAATCGACCGGTAGTTCCCGGTCGATTCCAAGCCAAATGGGGCCACACAGCCGCATGTCAAGTCATTATAGGTGAGTGTACATACAAGTAGTAGATATGTATGAAATGCAAAGAAACAAACTGCGCACTGTGCCGCGCTCCTGAGAGAGAATAATAAGAGACAGAAGGTGTGGACACGGATTGAGACGAAGCTTTGCGTTCCATTGGCAGAGGCGTCTCGAATCATTGTTCTGACCACTGTTCATAGTAACACAAGAGTATGGATTTGCTTCAGCTCTACGCAGACGAGACAGAGGACGACGACCGCGGGCCCGACACGCCGCCCCACGTTGCCATCTCCGACCACGGTAAGCACCCTCGGTGGCAGGAACAGGCAGCAAAGCTGACGACATGTTGCAGCCACAGACGGCGAGCAAGACCAGGAAGACGGGCCGAAGGAGGTGGGGTGCGCTCGCACCCCGTTGTTTTTGCCGGAGCTGGGCAAACGTGGCGCGGAGGCTGGCAAAGAGGAGGGAGAGTGGTGTCACAAGCGGCAGCGCATGCAGAAAGGTCGTGGCGACGCGCGATTTTTTTTGGATGTGGAGGCGGCAGAGAGTGCAGGATCGGGGGGTGAAGACGAGGAGGAGGAGGAGGGGCTGGATGCTGGTGAGTTCGCAGCTTAGATTCCGGTGCAGCTGCTTACAAGGAGGACAGCGTTCATCAACAACAGCGCCGTGGGCACCGCACATCGAGTGCCGCCGGTGGGGAGGCTGGACGGTCCGGAAGAGCGCACGCGGGAGGCCGAGGAGCTGGCGGCCCAGGCTCGCAGGTTTGACGATATCGCACGAAAGGAGCGGGGTCCTGTGGTCAACGTCGCGCCGAGGCTGCAGCAGCTGGGAAGGAAGAGCGAGGGCTTGATGGCGGCAGAAGCCCTGTGCGCGGAAAGAGCCCTGAGGCAGGCTATGGAGAAGCACGTATCGGAGCTGCGCGGAGAGAAGCATCAGCCAGGGCCTCCACCTGCAGAACCCTCGTTCCGCCAATTCGCTCGTCGCGGAGTTCCAAAGCCCCCGCCCGAAAATTTCGTTTGCCATCGATGGGGTCGACTGCGCACCGGCCCACATGCCGGGCAGTTTGTTTTGACAGAGTCCGCCGCCACAGTCATAGTGCTCGGCACGGGCGAGGACGCAGCGGCATTTCACCTGCTGAGGATGAAGGGAAAGACGTCGCTCGACAAAGCCTTGTCGTGGGAGTCCGTGCCGCCACACGAGATCGATCGCTGGGACAGCGCCCCGGGGAACTGGTTGTGGCGGGCGGCGAACCCCTGGCCGGGGATGGTGTGCGCGCCTGGGTGTCGAGTCGTGGTGACGCAGGGCGGCGAGAAGGGCGAGAACGGGTTCGTCATCGGGGTTCGCAACCGCCGGTGGGCTGTGGTCAGAATCGCGTACGGAGGGAGGCGCATCTTGCTGTCAGCACCGACTGTATATGCGTGGCTGCATGCGCTGGCACAAAGAGAAGAGGACGACATCTTGGTGGACGTGGAGGACATGAGAAGGCACCTGCTTAGCTTCCCGATGCAGCTGAATGTTCTGGACCGCGTGCGCGTAGTTTGCAGGACGTCGACGGCGGTGTCGATAAAAGGGCAGGTCAGCGGGATCGACGACAGTGTGGCAGACCCGATCGTGAGCATTGTCGGGCGCATTGTCGGGCGCGATTCTCGCGTGATCGAGGTGCCGATGTCGGGTGTCGCTCGTGAGTTCGAGCCGGGGGACATGGTCACAGGTGGTCGCGGGACAGCTTGCAGGGAAGTCGGGCATTGTCGTGAATACGACGTACGGCGCTGAGGCCTCGGCAGAGGAGGTGCCACTGGGGCTCGAGATCTTCGTGGAAGTTGGGAAAGACGACCTGGAGGAGTGGGCGTGGCTGTGCGGGAAACGCAAGGAGATGGCGCAGCTGCTCTTGGGGGGCGTGGAAGGCGGCGGGGACGGAGATGTGGAGCTGCTGGCGCCAGAAGACAGAACAGGTGCGGGCTACGAGCTGGTGAGCATCGCTTCGGCTGAGGGCACCAGTGCGGGAACTAATGCGTGTGGTGGGGCGGTTGCAGGTCTTGTGCGAGCAGGCGGAATTCACGGAGCTGGATGCAAGGCCCGGGGGTTGGACGCTCGCCTCGACGCCCGAGGCCACATATCGCGCACAGGCGGCCTCGAAGCGAGACGTGAAGCGAGATGAGGAGGAGATGCACAGTGGTCGGCGATACAGAGGGAAGGAAGTGCTCGTGGTGAGGCCACATGTGATGTAGGGCAGAGTAGGGAGGGTGGTCGACGACCACGATGTACTGGTGCAGGGGAAGACGGAGCGCCAGGTCGTACTAACGGTGAAGATAGAGGGACATGGGCAGCCCTTCCAGGTTCCCGAGGAGCAGGTGCTTCATCGTTGGTACGCGAGCTTTCCTCTAGAGATGACCACCAACTGACGGTACGCAGGTCGGGGCTGCCTCTGAAGAAAGCACGGCATGTGACTCCCTGGGCCGGGATAATGAGGTGGGGTTGGGGAGAGGTGGTGGAAGAGGTGCACTGGGTGCGGACGCCACCGCAGACGCCGGCGCCCGAGCTGGAGTGGCAGGTGACTCCCGAAGAGAGGGCGGTGCCGCGCCCGCCCCGCCCCCGGTTCTCGGCCGCGATGGGGGGCGGTGGTTATGCATTCCGAGGTTGAAGGGAAAGAGGGTGGATGTCCGGGTGCTTCCGATAACCATGGGACGTGTGTCAGGCAGGCAGGCATCCGCGGAGGGGAAGTATGCGTTCATCGAGGTGGACGAGGAGATTACAGCAGCGACGCTGAACAACACGATACCGGTGCGCATCGGGGAGCATGGCACCATCGTGAAAATAGCGCCCCGATGGCTGGAGCCCCTGCGCACGACCGGGTGGCCTCCGCAAGTGTTGCCTGACGTCTCGATCGCAATATGGCCTTGTCGTGTGGTGGTCATCGGACGGGATCATGTCGGAGGCACAGAGCATCTGGGCGAGTACGGGTGGACGCGTCGGGGGGACGCGCCCGACATGGTGAGAGTCCGGTACGCCCGGGAAAGCGACGAGCCCGCAGCGCTCGCGGGCCTAGACTCGTTGTCATCGTGGCACGAGGGGGTGTACCACGTCCAATCGCTGTGTCGGGCTCACAATTACGACGGATGCAACACGAGGGCCACGAAGTACTGGCATTGAAGAGACGAATTGAATGTAAATCATGTAAATAGCGAGACGGACATTAATATAGCAAGTTTTGATTTTGCACGGCGGGCGTGTTAGGTAAGCAACGCCAAAGTCCCGATTTGGCAAGGTGCGAATGAGGTCCAACGGCCAGCTCCCGCAAGGACCGACCGCGTCATAGCTCGAGGTGGAGGGTGCATTCAGTGTGGACGGATCCGGAAGCACGGCCGCCGGGAATTGGAAATGGTGGGGCTTTAGAAACAAACAAATGCAATACAATCACGCACCAAAAGATATTTCTTCCTTTTCCGAGGTTTTTTAAATGTGCGTACCTTGGTACTGAGGGCTGTTGCGAGAGCTTACCTTCATCAGGGCCGAGGAGGCAAAAGGTCACGGAGGATGGGGAACTGAGGGCTGGTGTGATGGCCCGGCACGGACCACAACGCCGGAAAACGGGGACGGGGAAGCGCCAAAGGAAGTCGGTGGCTGGGGCGAAGGCGCGGTGGGGGCGGGAGATGGGAAAGGGGCAGGTCCAAAAGATGTCGGTCAATGGGGAGATGCCGCGCCAAGGGTGACAACGGCGGGAGATGGAGAAGATGGAAAGGAAGTGGAGGCGGGGGCGGAACGGACTGCGGGGATCGAGGCCGAAGGGTAGGTGCATGTGAAGCTGTGGGTCCCGTCTGACGACCATTCCTAGGTACGCCGCGAACTGGGTGCCAGAGTTGACAGAGGAGGTCGTAGCCCAGATCCTGTCGTGGCCATGGCCCTACCCTCGGGCAGCGATGAGGAGAGGTGGCTGTGGAACACCTCGCGTGTCAGCAGGCGGTGGCGCGCAGCGTGGCGAGCACACGAACTCCCGCGATATGTGAGGGTCGACGACGACTAGCCACTGCCCAAGTCGAGGCAGATGGAGTTCATGCTTGGGACGTTGGAACCACGACCAGGCGCGATGGCGCTGCATCCGAGCACCGAACTGGAGCTCGACTGGGACAAGGGGATTCGCCGGAGGCAGATGCAGGCGGCACTGTCGCATCCTGAAATTTGGACCGCCTTCACCATCCGCGGCTACGACAGGTCGTTGTCCGGGGCCGATGACGCTCTGGAGATTCTGCGTAACCAGATGCCGCTGATGAGGAGAGTGAAGACGCTGTGCATCTGGGGCAGCGGCCAAGGCCACAGCGAGGAGGGACCAGGAATGCCCCGCGGTTTGCTTGCCCCGACGGAGGTGTCATTGCACGATGTGGTAGAACCTGAAGTGGACTTCGACTTACCGTGGAAAAACCTCCTACGATATTCGGAGAGCAATAGACGACGACCTACGGGCGGAGTGCCTGCCCGGCATTTACAGCAGATGGTCGCATTGACGCATCTCACGCTCCATGGCTACCGCGTTCGAGATGGCCTGGTTAAGTTGGACGCGCTGCTCGAACTGGACGTGTGCTTCTACGACACTAGCGGGACAGACGCCCTGGAAGCCTTCCGTACCCCAGCGCTACGGAAGCTTAGGATAATTGGTGCGACGTACGGGATTGGGGACATGGGTCCACACATCCTCCAATTTCTAGACGAACCGCATGCACCACACCTCGAGGAGATCTGCATCACCAAAACCACAGACGCTTCAATCATGGCTCTTTTCGAGCGGT